GGCACCACAACTCCAAATTATAATAACCATCCATATTATTCTGGAAGTAAAGTAAGTGGATCGAATATATATGCTACTGGCTCTTCAATTGAAACTAAAATGCCCCGTGAGAGCAAGAAATCTGCAGATGAGCGATCTTATCTCAGAGAAGGATCTGTTTTGTCCGCACAGCCACGTAATGTAACAGCTCTTCAACAACCTGATTACACTCAAGTATCTCCTGCAAAACTTGCATTAAGACGTCACCTCTCCCAAGAAAAACTTGCTGCTGCTTCTGCTCAGCAAATTCAGGCCTTGGGGAGTGGTGAAAAAGGATATGTGGCCACACGGACGATCGGGGACTTGGTCAGTGGGGAAATTGAACGCACTCTGGAAATATCAAACCAGAGTATTATAAATGCAGCTGTCGATATGAGTACAATTATGGTTGGGAATACAACAACACCAGCAACTGTTGTGAACCAGAACATGCCTCCTCGTCCGGAAAGGGTAAATGTACGTTTAAATCGCATAGTGGAGGATTCTCTTGGTCGGAAAGAAGAAGACCGAACTGGAGGTAATAGTCCTTCACCTCTGCATCACACTCCAGTTTATTCTCCCATCTCTCGTCCCAGTAGTACCGAAGGAGCTCTCAATGCAGCTGGAAATCCACCAACACCAACACCAGCGGGAATATTACCACCTCCAGCTCCTGCCCTTGAGGGTTTGGGCTATGCACATCATCCCAAATCTCCACCAGCTCAACACCCACATCATGGTCTTGCAACACTGGCACATGTTGCCTATAATCATATGACTTCCAACTATTCACCTCAGCCTAATTCTTCTACTCCTCCAAACTTTTCTCCACGGACAACAGTCCTCTACCAGCCTTCATCCACTGCTTTTGCTTCCTCCACATCAACCAAACCAGGGACACCTCAGAATGTATCATCCTGTCGATATGCTGAAAGCAGTTACACTCCTGTGCAGCTTCCACGGGCAGACATTAAGCCATATCATGAGTCATATTTCACAGACACCAAACCTCCAATAATTGTGACTGCTGCATCATCTCAAGATAGCAAACCACCATCGCAACTATCTGAAGAAATGAATAAAACGGGGAGCTCTCGAGATTTGGAGTCATTTGGTCCTGTTGAAGGTCTCGCTGCATCTCTTCAGTCACGTGTGCTATGCAGTCAAGAGAATTCAAGTTCTAAACATTCATTGCCATCTGACCTGCTGCCAGTAAAAGAAGAAATAGATGAGAGAGTAAATCCACGATCAGATTGTATGCTTTATGACAGTAGAAATCACCACCAACGATTAGATCCTGTGAAAACGGAGAGGCAAGATGGCAAGATGGAAAATCATAGATTAAGTGATCAGCGCTTTAGTTCAGGGATTGATGATGATGGAAACAAACAGTTACTTTCATCCTTGGTAATACCTCAACAAAATGCAAACTCTAACACTGCCATTATTCAGAGTCCTACAGCACCATTGGACGTTGTGAAAACTGAAGTATGTGAAGTGTCTAAAATGTCTGATAATAGTGATTCCTTTGGACGAACATCTAGTTGTAGTAGTTTCTCTAGTAGTAAAAGGGCATCACCTGTCATTCATGGACCAGTGCGACCTCATAAAAAAATGCATCTTGGTAGTACAGACAACTGTGGTCGAAATGAACCAGACAATGCAGTGTCCTCAGTTTCATCTGTAGTAGCAAATATAAGTCAGCCTATAGCAATTAGTGCAATCTCTTCACCTGAGTTACATTCAGGAAAATCTACACCAACTCCAGCAGTGCCTCAAGGAGATGAGCTACCTGTTGAGAGGAGCAATAGCAGGCAAACGGAAGAACGAGAAGAAGGTATGTATATTTCATATACTGCAGACCTGTGCTGCAGTAATGGATTAACATTTCTCTATGCTTGAGACTAGCAAACACATTCTTCCCTTAAATGTTGCATATCAACTAAATTATATTTTCTATGCTTAAAATGTGTTTCATTGATGTGATTGTTATATCAGGGTGCAACTCGTTCTCATACAGCATTCTGTGACTCTTTCTCTATTGCATATATATTTATTTCAGATTATTGGATCTCTGTAATTGCCTAAATCTGATTCAAATGATAATCTGGTTTCTGAGCACGTTTCGTATCATTTGCATGTAGGTGCGTGAAATTTTTTAAAATTTTTGAACTCTAATAATATATAATTTTTTCGGTTACTGAAAATGGTTAAATAACTATTTAGCCTGTATGATTTGGAAATTGCAAGAAAATTCTTCCAAGTTTCATTGCCAAAGCACAGGTCCATTTTTTACCAATCCAGGTTTTATCAGTACTTTTCAAATTGCATTAGCGAGCCAGTATTTTTCATTTGCACAAGCATTTTCTTGTTAAATATTTGTTACTTAAGTCAGGTGACAGTCTTGCAAACTCCAGCATGAATGGTGGTTAGTAGTTTTCTTATGCAAGATTGTTTTCTACTTCAGCGTACGTATTCTTGTTTTTGTAGAAGGCATTTTATCAAGTTAAATGAATTTATTGTTGTTAATAACATATTTTTAGTTAATGCTTGTAATATTTATGTGCTTCTTAAGGTTAGTTTTAGGCTCACTACAATGAGCTTGTGGTTCTGCCCTATAATCTTTTTATCTTTTCTATCTTGTTATTGAAATAGTGAAATATTATATTTCTTGCAATGAAAGATATTATTTATAGTTTGACTAGTGAAATGCTAAAGAAGATATTTGTTCCTAAATGGTTTGCTGTTGATTTCATTATACTTTATGATTATTGTTATTATTGTTGTTATTACAATAGTTTAAAGTATTGTTGTGCATGGACAACTTCCATTTACCATTTGTACCTTTAATGCTCCAATTATTAGTTACTTTTCTGTAGTTCTCTCTTTTATGTCGGAGAAAAATGTTTTGTAAAATAAAGAGAATGATTCAATGGTTAAGGGCACTCTGGGACATTCTAGTAGCATTGAATTTCTTCATTTGCCAAATTTTAAGTTTCTCTCGCAAATTTTGTCATGTAGAATGTCTTCTGTACAGCTTCATTTCTTTGAAATTACATATTTATTGAGTTGGTGCACTAAAGGTGAGAAGAGCCATGCTTTTTAGTGTTCTGCTATTTGTTTGTGTGTGATATGTAATACTACTGCTTTGCATCCATAGGCGCACTCTTGTCACCACAGTCTGGGGTGCACACATATAGCTAGTCACACGTAGGGTTCGAACGCTTGTTTAGGATTGGGGCAAACTAACAGTTTAGGTAAGTAAGCAGGCTTCAGAATGCACACTCTTCATTCTGTATAGTAAAGTAGGAAACTGGTGCAGCTGCTACTGGGTATTCATGATGGAGTGATTTACTGTATTTATTTCATTTATTGCTAAAACCTGCATGTGTACCTTCAGAATGCACAAATATAAATTAGTGGTGGTGGCAGCATGTGTAACGAGACAATGTAGCACCTTGTATTGTAACAGTCTCTAGTTCTATTAGACATATGTGATACTATTCGTGATAATGAAAACTTACCCTTCTGTGGCAGATCCAGAAGATGATGACACTGGTAACCGGAAGATTGACAAATGGCAAGATAAAATCAGCAGTGGCTTTGATCGTCTTATGTCGTTTGCATCAACTGAATTGGACAAACGTCGTCGGAGCACAGAAGGTGCCTCTCCTCGTGGTGGTGATTCCGCTGCAAGTTGTAACACCAGTCCCGACAGTGGCATTGGCCATGGGGACCCTCCTCCACCACCTCCTGTGCTGCCTATGGCTGTGAACAAGAAGAGGGTTTATGGGGACCTTGGACCTGGAAGCCCAGGTCCCAAAATGCCTCGCCTTTTTAAGACACCCTCTTCAAAACCGTCTCCTCAGCAAATGGGCAGAGATTCCCCTCCTATTTTGGAACCACCTCTCATTGATGATACTACTGGTCCACCAAGAACCCCTTCTCCATCTTCTTCAGCAGATGAACCCCCTCTGATATCTGTTGCTCTCCCAATTAGCCCTGCTCCACTGGATGGGCCCTACAGTCCAATATCAGCATCCAGCATCTCTGCCAACAACGGCGAATCGTGCAGCCCCCCACCCCTTCCTCCCTCTGTACCATTGAAGTACCAGCGCCCTGAAACGTCAGATCACAAATCAAGAGGTGATCATCATTTCAAGAAAAAATTTTTTCATCGTGAATGGAATTCTGTGAATCATTGGCAGGGAAACGCAAATCAAAGTAATCATCACAGTCATCATCATAAGGGTAAATTCCGGCCAAAAGGTAAAGACTGGGAGTGGCATGGAACGAAAGGTCATCACCAAGGCCCACCCATGCCTCTGCCTCCCGATTTCTCCGTCCCTCCTCCACATCTTGTTAACACAGCTGTCCCTCCACCTTATCACCCACACGGTAGGTTTCCATCGCGCTATCGAGCCAATCATTCTTGGGAGAGATATTCAGGTTATAGTGGTCAGGAGAGTAATGTACAAGATGCAACTCCTGTGCCCTCTAGCAAGATATCTCGAATTTATAATTCTTAGTTTGAATGTGCATTGTTGAATCTTACCCCTCTTGTCACATGTCAATTTGTGGTATGAGCCCATATCATTGTCATATGATGGGAATTTGAAAATTTCTAGTGGCAGGGAATAAATAATCAGTGATACCTTTTAAGCAAATCTAATGTGACGTCCCTCAACAAGGTGTTTGTAAAAGTATGCACATTCAAAACATGTGAAAGTTGGTTCTGTAGAATCAAATTCTTTATGCAGCTTTCACATTGTGATTGTAATATGTAGTCTTGTATTGATAAAAGTGCTGTGTGCTGTGTGAATGTTATATGGTTATGTGATAAAATTTTAAGGGAATTCATGAAACCCATCACTTGCTTTTTATGTAGATAGATTATGTATTTTATTGAGCAAGATAATCCGAAGAATGGCAGTACATTGTTATAGAATGCTTGATACAGTGGATAGTCAAGGGAATTTAATTTATTTGTGATTATAGAAGTTTATTGAAACCAGTGTTAATAATTTTCATGGTGCTAATCAAGAAATCACTATTATCATAATTCAAGGAGGTGGATTTTGTTGTTTTGGAGAGATTTAGAAGATTTCGTTTACATCTTATTGCCTGTATATATCAGGTTTTTAAATACCTGTGAATGTCAATTTTTAGGATCCAGTTGGATTAGGGAGATACTAATCTTTCTTAGTTTGAGTAAAATTATTTACTTTTGAAGTCACAATTATTTCAATTTTTCAAACATTCCTGTTTAAACATATTTAATATTCTTAGAGAAATTAACTTAAAAAATAAGTAGTAAGATGCAGTTAATCATTGATTTACACTATTAATACAGTTCCTCACCTGCTTTAACTTGAATAGACTCTGTATCAAGCACACACCCAATTCAGTGATTGCCAAAGGCAATTATTAATTGTGACTTCTGAAGAAGAAAAATTAAAATTGTACTTCCTTGCTCAAATTAAATCTTTCTTTAACTTACTTGGACAGATCATGAACATAGAATGTATTTCCATTATTGTAATTACAGATTGGATTGTGGACTGTAGATTAGTGTATGAAGTTGATGATGTGTTAGTGTAGAAAATAGGAGCTGAAGGTGAGGAAATAGATGTTCTAGAGCTTAAGTCATATCTGGGTATGTGCATCTTTGGACAATCAGTGTCTGCATTGCATACATGTTTTTGTTTCAGAATAGGCAAAAAGAAAATAATTTTGATTCCTTTAAAAGTGTTCATTTGTCTTGTTGTCATAAATTGTGCTGTGATGGGCTTCATAATCTGGCTACAACAGAACTGCCATCTTAAGTGTTTATAATTTTATAAATGGGATTGCTCAATTGTATTATTCGTTAGAGCAGCAAGGTCATGAATGTTCTTTCCTGCTATAAGATGTATATCTCATTTATTGTTAAATTCATCAAGGAAAATAAAGTGCATTTGTAGATGCTGAAGGCATTCATACTGTTGAATTCTTATATGTAACTTCATCTCTGCATATTGACTCAGGGGCAAGGAAGTGAAAATATATTAGTATAATCTCAAATATTTGAAGACACTCAGTGCTAAATATGATTGATGTGTTTATCTTGGAGACCATGGTATACAATTTAATTTCATTTTATTCAATGAAAACCCAATACTTTAAAGTATGTTGGAATATTCAAACACATTTTTTCATCATACTGGTAGACTAAAGTTTGCTGTGGTCTATTTTTCAACAAGATAATGCATTACTTTTGTCTGTGTGTGTGATTTGTTTAATTTTGGCTCTTGTCAAATTTATTTGCGTTAAAAAATACCAATTGTGTGCCTGTGATGAGTGATGTATTATTTTGTAAAAGTTCTGGTGACTTCATACTGACCAAAAAATTTAGTGTTAACTTATTTATGTGTCAGCAATTTGTTGAAATGCCATACAATTTAAATATGCTATGAAAATTGCAGTGAGTTGGATTTGTTCACATTTCATATAACACGGTGAACTAAATCCTAGTAGTTTAATTCACTGCCATTTTTGTCTTTTAAATAAGCTAGGCACTGCCATGTAACTTGTGTTCATATGAAAATGAGAGGAATGATATTAATGAAAGTCATTATATCATTTTTCTATGCATGGGTGTTCATTATTTTTTTCTTTTATGGTATACATTGTATATAATTGTTCCTTTCTGTTTTTATTGTGCTTCCTCAGTATCAGCCAATTTACAGATTTTTATCTTGATTGCAAAGCTGTGTTTTTATATTGTGTATATTTATAAAGAGCTCGTGGAAACTTGTACCACTAGAATACGTTAGTGATTTATCTGACTGGTACTGATGAAAACTGAAGAAAATGTATTGCTTTACTTTCTTATTACGTTTTCTACGTAATGTTTTTGGCTTGTGTGATGGCCATTGTTCTTTAGAAGTTTTTGATGATTTATTTTCTAGGTATTTTATTTCAAGAATAATTTTTATTGTATATTGTGAGAATAATAATTTAATGTTCACGTGTGGAAAACCCAGGAAATACAATATTGTGTTGTATTGTATTGCTTGCTGTTGATAATTGTAGATCTTTGTTTGTTTGTTTTTTTTAATTTAATGAAATTGGTTGATACTAGAGAAACATGTTCAATATGTTGTTATTGTTTTATGCAAAATGTTAATTTACAAAGACTTGTATCATATTCATGATCACATGAAATTAACACCAGAGTTTTAGTACAACAGGTAATGTCTTACATTGCATTTTAAACATTAGAAAATTAATCTGAAAACAAATGAAGTACAAAGCAATTAAAATATTTGAATATTGGTACTTAGTCTGAGAATTTTTACTCTCCGTGTTTTGTAGGTTTGTTTTGTGAATAAAAGTTGATAGAGAAAGAAGCTAGGCCCGTACAGACATATTGTATCCTTGTGTAAAGTGTAATAAATCCTGTAAATTTATTTTAGTTTATTGAAATTTCTTTCTGATTTTTCCCTATGTCCATAAGTTTCCCGAAGTCATCTCATTAGCTTTTGCATTGAAGGAAAAACCTTAACCAATTTAGGTAAAGATTTAACAGTCAATAATGCTTCCATTTGCTGGTCTCTGGGGAATAAAAAGTGTGACTTAACAAACTTAAATATTGTTTCTTTCTCAAGCAACATTGCACATAAATTCCCAAGAAATTATATTTTTATTGAAAATTTTCACATTTTCTGTAATTGTACTTATAATAGTCCTTACTTTATTAAATATTACTGCACATTCTGAAGAAGTTGAATATTGAATGGGGATAGTAACTATATGCCGAACTTTTCTAATTCATAAAATACTGATACAAGTTACACATACCACAATTTTGCTCCCTGTAAGCTAATGCGTTTACACAAAATTTATAAGGCGTCTGACTTAAAATGTTGGTGAAAACTTGCTGTTAAGTCCCTAATGTCAGATTTTACGTGTCTAACCTCGTTAACTACAGAACCTGTTCTTAATGGTTGGCAGTTCAAACGCCTTCACATAACGATAATAAATTTTAGTGTATTCTTAAAATAAAGTACGCCATAAAATGAACTGACGACTTTTTTATTCCGTATCAATTTTTAAATATATCATATACAATTCTATGAATATATCCACTTTGTGACAAAAGTGTAATCGGTGCCGTACCAGTAATCTTCACGGGACATGCAAGACGGTTTCAGGGCAGGTACCCGACACCATGCAATTCAGTACGCTAAATGGCATTTGGTTCATAAAAAAATACCAGAAGCTATCTAAAATTATCATAGTGGGGACGACTGTCTATCCAATTGGCAATATTAAACGGTGAAAGAACAAGAATGAGAATTTCGTTATGCATCAGCTATGATGTCACTCATTAATTTAGCAACGACGGATGTATGACTACACTGGTTGGGTGTGGTACGTAGGCAATCACCGTCAGCCGTTGTATACTTCATTGCTGACAACTATAGCATAATTACAAATCAGCTTCAGAGTTGTTAAAAAGTCATAAAAATCAAGCATAACTTATGAATGAATGTTTTTCATAGTATTCGATTATCAATCAAATGAGTAAGTTCATGAATTCACAATAATTTCCACTATATTTTAAAAGAGAGATGTGCGTAAGTTGGCCCTATCGCTAGATGTTTTGTGAAAGAGGGTCGGAGGAAGGCCAAGGAATTTTTTGCTTCGAGAGCTTTTCTGAGGTACGTGAGGGTGGAAGAGCTGTCGTGAAATGGCTGCTATCAGGAAGAAATTGGTTATTGTTGGCGATGGAGCTTGTGGTAAAACTTGCTTGTTGATTGTGTTTAGTAAGGATCAGTTTCCTGAAGTGTACGTGCCAACCGTTTTTGAGAACTATGTGGCTGACATCGAAGTTGACGGAAAGCAAGTTGAGTTAGCGCTTTGGGATACAGCGGGCCAAGAAGATTACGACAGATTGAGACCTCTATCCTACCCAGACACGGATGTTATACTTATGTGCTTTTCTATTGATTCGCCAGATTCTTTGGAAAATATACCAGAGAAGTGGACCCCCGAAGTGAAGCATTTCTGTCCAAATGTACCCATAATTCTGGTTGGAAACAAGAAAGATTTACGAAATGATCCAAATACTATCAAGGAACTTGGAAAAATGAAGCAGGAGCCGGTAAAACCAGCTGAAGGTCGAGCTATGGCCGAAAAGATTAATGCATTTGCATATTTAGAATGCTCTGCCAAAAGCAAAGAAGGTGTTCGTGAAGTCTTTGAAACTGCTACCAGAGCAGCTCTTCAGGTTAAGAAGAAGAAGAAAGGTCGATGTAGGTTGCTGTAAAATTCTTCAGTGTCATGATTCAGTTTTGCATATATTTTTAAGCTTTAGTTATCCCTGCTCTGAATCGGACTGTACGTGTATTGGGAACATCAGTGAAGTACGTTTCTATTATGTTATGATTTGATATGATGGTATGTTCAAAGAACTTGAATTATTGGTCATTATCAAGATAATTTATATGGAAAGAAGTGGAATCTGAGCAGCTGTTTTAATCTTGTGAAAGTATTTGCAAGAAATATTTGTGTATATGCAATTATACACACAATTTGAATGGTGCATGGAATACAGATAAAATGGTGTCTCTGGACCAGAGTTGAGTATACATACTTCTGTAATATTGCTTTGCAGTTTCGTATTACAAGATTATTTGTATGAAGCCATAAGAGTCCAGGGTCAATAAAGGCTTTTTCCTAATATCAAAGTTACTTAAGCCAAGATATGTTAGATAGATTACAGTATACTTCTTTACTATATGAGTATTTTATAACCTTTTATAATTACTTTAGTCTAGGGTTCCATGGGAAGGTGTTTTAAAAGATGTGATTAGTGATTGAGATGTAGCCAAATCTTCGATATGGTATGTTTGTTGCTTGATTTGTCAAAAAAAGAAGCCATAGTAGCACAATATTAACAATTGTTCTAAAGTTAATGTGTAATTAATTGGGGTTGGAATAGAGAGTTCTTTTCTGTTTGCATCAAGCTTTGTATTAAGTTTCATATCTTCATTAATTTATGTGTATTGAAGTTGAATGTTTGTATAGGTCTGTCTTGAATTTTGTCATATTTAGCTCATGCACACATTTTGCACAATTATATCAAAGCTTTGTTTAATTATTTAAAGAATTTCAAATTTTATTGACTGAACCTTAAAAGTTTAATTTCAAATTTCTGTTTAGTGTCAAACATTGTTCAGTCTTATTGATAGATGTATTTTGTGAAGCACCTAGAATAAAGGAGTTTACAATATTCTAGTTTTCTTAAACCCTTATTGTTTATCCAATACTAGGAAGCATTGTCATATTAAACATAGTTTAATATTTGGAGTTCAGGTGATGATTATTGTACATGCAAAGTGGAATCAATATGGAAATTCAGCTGGTTGAAATTTTTGACAGATGACAGAATTTTTGCACATTCTTATTTGATTAAATAATCCTTTAGTTCGTTTTATGTTTGAGTGTAGGTAGGGCTGTTAACTAGTCTGATAACACATCAAATATTGTCAAGCTTTTTGTTACCAGTTAATAATTTACATAATACCAAAGTTAAGTATGAAGCCAACTTGCACATAAAATTTTTGACAAAATAAAGTTAAATATCTTGTATCTTTGGATAATTATATATACATTCACCCTCATTGCCTCAAGCTTGAGATGTTTTATGGATTACATTAACTAATCCTGAGCTGGGAATTGTTATCTTTTGTTATTACAATTAATTCCTAATATCTCTTTGTTACAATTGCTCACTAGTCAGAACTGGCATGTTAATAGTAATTGGAATTTACATTACTGAAATGGTGAATGTTGAGTACAATATTGTGCATAGAAAGTTTGCTGGAATAAGTTTGCTTGTGGGTTTGATTGAGGAATACACTATTCACGTAAAATACTAATTTTCGTTACTCAGTAAGACAAATAGCCATACTTTCAATCAATACAAACAAGTGTAACGTTGCCAAGTTTATGTATGGTGTGTTCAAGGATTAATACCCCCAGTTATCAAACTCAAAAAGTGGTACAGGTAAAAATTTTTCAGTGAGGTAAATGTTTCTTATACTGTACTTTGGGTTATCATTGCAGTGATGGATTTAGCAGTTTTCATTTCAGGGCAAAATAAAGAAAATGGGAGTTTGTATTTTATTGTCATCCTTTTGTACTTGGGTGTTATTTATACTTGTTCATACGCATTTGTTATGATTCAAATTGGATTTGAAATTAATATTTTAATACATAAAAATATATTTGAAATTTTTAAAACATTTAAATGTGTTTGTGTGGTTTGTAAAGCCATTAGTTTTTCTAGGCCAGGGAAAATTTAGCTAATCTTGGAATAGATCAAAGTGAAATTAGAAAGGGCCCATCTCAGAATTACCAAGTAATGTCCCAATATTTTAGTTATGTCGGGTATGAGTCCTCCAAGAAAATCACATTTAGTAATTAAGCCAAGATCATAAGGCAAATTGTAATACTAAATTCAATATAACATCACTTTGAAATAAGTGCTTAAAAGCATTAATACTTTTTGAAAGTGGACTAGGGGGGGAAATCTGCCTATAATGATTACAAAATGTGAACATTTGTACATCCAAGGTGGCATTTCATTTAATATAAAAATATTTTCTTGCCAATAATCATACATTGATTTGAATGTGTTATGTTGATCAGTATGCTTTATTCAAGTGGTTGCACCTTTTCAGTTAATACTTGTGAAAAAAATAAAAATCAAATGTATTTTCACATTATGTATATGTAAAATCAAATTTTACATCTGTTGTGATGCAGTTGTTTGACGATGTAGATAGCATAATGAACTTTTGCAATTTTCAAAAGTCCAGAGGTTTTTATGAAAATAAAACCTATTGAGTGAGCTCTGCCCTATTTGAACGAAATACTTTGTTTTTGAGAAACTTTTATTTACGCTTATTCTTATGTATTCTTCTTTCTAAATTTCTTGAAAATTCTAATATTTTGGGGGGGAAAAGTGTGAAATTATTTAAACATCTAATCAGGAATAAAATATTTCACAAGGAAAGGTAGTTGTAATTGGAGAACAAACTTGGACCTTTTGCAATTTCAGAGGTTTTTATGAAAATTGGATGTATGCAAATTTTATGAATATACTTAACTACCCTGGAGCGAAAAAGAAAGCCTTTTCCTTGAGAAAATCTTTAAAATGTCAAACGTTAAAAAATCAGTTTCAAACGGGCAGGTTTCAAGAGCGGCCAGATCGATCTTGATGTATTCATTTTCGAGGAAATTCTGTTACTGACGAAGGTGCAAGTGTTATCTGCAAGAGCCAAATTATTGAAAAACCTGTTTCAGACTCCTGAGAACATGTATTTCTTCAAATCTCGAAATTATTTTGTGCAGCACGAGTATTATATAACTATTATATATAATAGGTATATATTTTTTTTCTTTTATTGCCCATATAATGTTGGCCCTTTTGCTGATTTTAGCTAATATATAATAATATATATATATATATATATTATATATATATATATATATATATATATATATATATATATATATAATATATTGTTGTACATATCGCGCGAAACGTTGGCCAAATATAGACAAACACTTTTTTTGGGGAAAATGTTCATTGACAAAAGAAAAAGGATAATTATTGAATTATATTGTGACAATCATAATATTCATACAATATTTCTTTAAACCATATTGCAAGGATCCTTGTTAGTAGAGAAACTGCGCAGAAACAAACGTCCATTTTCTGTGCAGGAAAAGAAAAAATTACCATAAGCGAGCAGGTCTACACCACGGCCGTCTCAGGTATAAAGGGGGATTTATCGCTACTAGGGCTCTATTAACATTTTCTTTATTGTACTTTACGCGTATATGGAGTCCAAGCAGTTCGATTCATGTTGATCGCTGCACTAGGCCGATTTTTGTCACGCGATGTCTGACGTCATTCCAGAACGGCCCGCGAACTTCCGAAAAGGAGCGAAAAATTACGACTAACAATGCGTTGAAAATTCAGTTTTCGAATCCCTACCATTGCGGACGCTTCTCTTCTTAGTACAAGAGAAAGTTAAATGAACTTCCATCGTGTGTTATATGTACCAAATTACCAACAAAAATTTACTTTTTTGTGAGTCTTCGGCTGTTCTACCATGCTTTGCCGTAGGAAGTAATGTTTAATTATTGCCGCCACCCCCCCCCCATTATTAGAAATTAAAAAGTCCTTACAAGGGTACCCAAAGCTGTAAGGTCACCTAAGTTTTTTTCCTTTTTTTAAAAAATATCAATCAAAATAGTGTCTCTCTAATTTGGATATTTGTGTTGTCCCACCTGATTTGAGGTTCTGAGTTGCCAGTGTACACTGGAGAGACAGTGAAATCCATCCTTTCTCTATCTGGGCACATTTTCAGTTAAAACTTATGAGTGATGGGAGTTACTCTACTGACAGCAAATATTTTAATTGAAAACTGTAAATCTATTCTTATCTGTATCATATATTCTGAGGTGCAATATAGACTCAGAATGGTAACAGTAAACATCTTAATATTACATAATCCCAAGAATATATTTGTTTATTTAATGAAGTGTCAAGAATTACTATTAAGATACAATAGTACTTTATTTTAAAATATTTTATTAGTCACATTTTATCACAATAATTCACTTCATTCAATAAGAATGAAAGTATTATTTGGGAATTGATTTTTATGAATAAATTATTCAGTGAGGTAGCAACACACTTGTCTTCACAGTTGCCTGAAAAACAGGAAAGAAAGATATATTGTAAAACACTTCAATAAAACATTTATCAAAAGTGAAAATAACTTACTGCTAAACCCTCAATTGATTCATCCCAGTTTTTCTCAGCAATTAGTGAAACAGCTTTACGGAAGACATCAATCAACTTCTGAACATTCTTCTGAAACATTGCTATGACAGACGTTGCAGACACAACTTCTTCAACACTTCTCCAGCAATCATAATCAGTAACAACTGCAAGAGTTATGTAACACAATCCAGCTTCCTTTGCAAGCACAACCTGCAAAAATTAAGGTATTAAACTAGTTTCCAATTTCATTCACTAATTTAGAAAAGAAAAGCACATCTTTACTTCAGGTACAGTTGTCATTCCAACTAAATGTGCCCCCAGGATTCGATACATATTACTTTCCGCAAGGCTTGAAAAGCGAGGCCCATCTATCACGGCTATTGTTCCTGATGGCTTTACAGACACATTGACAGCTTTGGCTGCTTCCAACACCACAGTCTGAGTGGCGGGGCAAAACGCAGGCCTCATTGGTAAATGGCATATTCCAGGCAACGAGCCTTCATCACCATTGTAAAATGTCTGAATTCTTGATTTTGTGCTGGGGTTATGAATTGAGACAACAAGCAATAAGTTTATTTTGGATATTAGAGACTAATATATTTTAACAAAAGTTAACAACACCCAAACATTCGCTATAATATAAAATTTGTTTTTACTTGTCAATGAAAGAATCCAGAAGAACCAAATCTCCTGGTTTCATCTCTTCTTGTAAAGATCCCACAGCTGCTGATGCTAAAATATGTGTGCACCCAATCTCTCGCAGAGCCCAAATGTTAGCTCGATAGTTGACTTTTGATGGCATAATGGTGTGTTTACGCCCATGTCTGGAGAAAATATTTAGGCACAAATTTGTAAACAGTAATTGGAAACAATGTGTAATAGTAAAGTTAGTAATTATATTGTATGGTATAGTAAGCAATTAAAGAGATCAGAGAAAAGATTAATAAACCGTTTGAACATCAGTTCTCCATTTTTCTTATAATACAAGTGTTACTTCCTCATTTGTACCATTGTTAATAGAAATATGCATTTTCCACTATGCTCTAGACATTCTGCGAAAAGAAACTTTCCTATTGGAAGGTTTTGATTCAGTCACATTTTCCCACCACAAATGTGCTAAGAAGAGTGCTGTATGAACAAACGAGACACCAAGAAGTATAGCCAGAATTCTATTGTACTGATGCAACGAATAGAATAGACAGGCACGATAGGTAAACGCAAAGGCATGTGATCAAAGCATGGGTTCCATCACCGGATTATGTCATTTCTCCAAACAAAAAGAGAAGTGCTGGTGATTACACACATGGGTTGAACAATATAATTCCATTTTCATACATTTCTAGATTCAAAAGAATATTGACAAGACAGTGCTGTGGGTAAAACAAGTTCATAGCCATACCGAGTGGTTAGGCGGTTCAAGATTAAAAAGAAAAGATTGTTTCTTACACATGGGCACTAATATAAATTCTAGAATAAAAATGTTAAGCATTTTAATTATTACTTTTTTACAATAATTCCTTTTAAATGTGATATTTCATTGATTACAGGCCTTTTGGCACCCTTATTTTAGAAAAAGGGAATGCCTAACTTTCAGACTCTAATTACACAAAATAAATTGCACCAATTTTAACAAATCCATAACCATGTTGAACAATGAAATGCACAATAAAGAGTGAATTTCCAACATTATTAAATGTAATACATTAACCTCCTGCAATACCATACAAAGTTCGTTTTATATAAGTTTAATTAGATGAGTAACTCACCTTGCTAGTAAAACACAAGGCACCCCATTTATAGTACCTTCAATAAGAGCATCGGATGGGTCTCCAAATGGTGTGGAGACAAGTGTCTCTCTTCTATTCTCCAAAATATCTGGATCATCTAATCCTGATCCACCAATAATTCCAATCTGTTAAAAACAATTTTCAGCTGAATACTTACTCAGGAAAACAATAATTTAATTGAGCTGTGCTCAATACAGCCCTATGCCAAATTTTTGACAAAAATAATACTACTAACATACTTGCTGCATTGATTACTATAATTTGTGTAAGTATTACAGTACTACGCAATAAATGATGCTGTACAACAGAGAGATTTCTTCACGCACTGTGACAAGAAATGGGGTAAACCTTTATCTTATTTTTCTCGGATACTTTGTACCGTCTATTGGATTTGACTATTGACTTTAAATCCCAAAATTATTTTGATAGCAAATGTTTATACCCATAATACATTTTACATTTATTTCACAAAGTATACATTTTTGGTTTCATTTTATGTTTCTTTTTTCATGTCATCAGGCTTCTTAGGCATATTATTGTACACTAACACGTATTGAAGTAAAAATTTTGTTAAAAATGTTTATTATTCTCAATTTTTTTTTCCTAAAAACCTGTAATGATTAAATCCAGCTCTGTATGGAGAGCTGGTGGTTGGACCTCATCAATTGTAATGCCATGAATGTCAGTGGTGACCTAAGACCATTTCTTTCCAGAAAATACGCATAAAATCAATGCTAGTAACAAGAATGACTAGAATAGACAATTTTAATGAAATTTGTAGGTAAACATGTGTTAATGTGGACAATAAAACACCTAAAAAACCTGAGATTTAAAAAAAAAAGTTGAATCATTGTGAAATATATTATTATATGAATAAATATTTGTTTTATTTCTCAGAATGAATTCAATGTGGCTAAGATCTATCCACAGCAAAGTCCTTCAATTCTGCTCTTTCAACATGTAGAAATGGTCTTGATTAAGAATCAGCCCAAGAATATGTGTATATATTATATTTGAGAGTGGTTGTTACTCTGTTAATAAAAAAATACTTCAAACATTACTAGTACTTTTTTTTTCCTATTACAAGGATATGAAATTATTAAAGAGCATGCAATATTCTCTCTCAAAAACAACTTCAGTCACTAGCATTTTCAACACTTGACAGTATTTCAACTTTCTTATTCTCTAGAGCACACTTTCTTTATAATGTATGATTACATGCTCATTTGTTGGAACAACAACAACAACATAAAAAAGAAAACCAACTCCGTTAGTTCCAATTTAAATCCTGTTGAAGAATAAGCCTATATCGTTACAAAAATCAAATTTTAAAATTTAGATTTAATGCAACTGGAGAACAAACTTTGATCTCGTGTGTTTGATTGCAAAAATAAAACGCGTCTCCACGAGTTACACAGTAATAATACTTACTTTAACAGCAAGCTTCCGACTCATGGTGCAATGTTTTAAAAAAATGTATTTTCACCGCTTTCTCAGTACTGACGCCGTGCTCTCAGTTCCTCCCACAAAAGTATGATTCCTCTCTTGGTCTATCCTCACAACCAAAACCACGTGAGATCAGGAATCCTCTGGAAGACGTTTCCTTTCATTCAAATTGCTTGAGGTGAATCGGATAATTTGTTTGGAAACACCGGCCCGATATATACTCTGCACTGGCCTATATTATCTGGCCAATTATATAAATATATATGCGTTCAATCTGTATCAATCTGTACACACACTGGCACACTCCACGTGAACTTTATCTGCTATATCTTCAAGCCCTAAACCAACCAGACAAAACCGGAGAGAACAAAGTAAACAAGTGATAAATAATGAAGTCCACTACACAGTGCACAAATCACCTCCGCTTATCATTATATGATCCACGGCATTCGCTGTTCATGTTCACTTGTCACAGAACAATGCAGAACAAATTATACCTATTAAATTAAATTATAAATTATAATCATGGAAGAATATTTGTTCACACTCTCTAAAACAATCCGCGTACTATCTGTATCTTTACCGTGTTTAGCGTCCTGCACTACATTATCACTGACACCCACTCTCTAAGAAATACTCTCCATACTCTCTGCTGAGACCGGCCAGACTAAAAATTGAAATCCCATTCATAGATGGCGCCACCGTAGAATCATTAGTTCTGAAGAAAGTAGTGTCTTACAGGTGTCAGTACAGACCAGTACAGACACGGTGAATATATCTTGTGATTCAGACATACATTTTCTATAAAGATGTCCAGAACACGTGCCTTATAGAGCTTGTGAAAATAGCACCGTCGCCTCTGGGTGGCAAATCACGGATGCAATGATGACTATCCTTCTGGTCGCTACGACCCTGGAGATCCATAGAATTTTCATAGGAAGAAGGTCAGGGCTGTCTCTTTCTGTTCCTTATCACTTGGTTCACTGCATCCCTAAACCTTTCTGTCGTATTGCGTACTCTGTCCAAATCGTTCCCAGTGTTGCCATTATTTCTTTGATCCATCGTGTTCTCTGCCCTCCCAGTCCCGGTAGCACGTGCTACGGGCCCCGCGCTTTCTGAGGAAAAATTTTCACTAATGAAAAAAGTTTTTCCGTAATGAAATTTGTGAACGTCCGGTAAAAAAGACAAAAACAATAGTAAATAATACATAAAGTAAATAATGTTAAACAATATGTCGTACGACATATTGTTGCAGGTAGGAGCTGCAAATAATTTAGTTTATGTTCAAATGAAAAAATATTTTCAGACCTAAAATCAGGGCCACTAATTTCCAGAAATTAATAAAGTATCACTTATCACATCGGCCTGTTCAGTTTTGGAATTCTGTCGCCAAGTCGGGCGCTATGAGTATGTATTAGGTTTCAATTTTCTAAATATCTTAACGATAAGCTAGACCATGGATGTAAACAAACTTAACGTTATTTGTATTGCTTGGCAGCAAATATCGAAAATGAATTCAGTTTGCAACTAGAAATCGGAAAAAGAACAAGTGTAATACATTTTATGGCAATTGGTATGTATGCATTTTTAAAGTTATTTTTATAATTACAATTTATCTGTAATTTACTTATATATTTTGTGTTAACACTCCGTCACTCGCACTGTTGGATGGAGTCAAACAAGTTTCTTTTCTTGTTATGAAAGGAACGTTAGCCTTCCACGTTCAAAAACAATGCTTCTATTCTACGAATGTTATCTGGGAAGAATGTTGATAAACTTATCTCTATTATGCGTGTCGCCATACCCTGAAGTAAAATCGTAGTGCCTGTTTGATAGAATCCAACATGCGGGTACTGGCATATAGCTCGGTGTTTTTGTATAATTTATTAAAATGATGTTTTTTCTGTAATATGAGAATGTTTAATATTTTAAATATTGTGTTTATGCATTTTTATTCGTTAGTGTGCAAAAACATATATGTTATAACTAAATAATGCGGGCGTTGGACGTAGTCCACTGCGCGAGTGCTCGTGCTACGAATGTCCGCGCGAGTGATGGAATCGAAAATGAAATATGGTACCTTTGTGGAAAAATGTCATTGGAAAATGCTGTGAACAACATTAAAAAGGATTCAATTTAAATAACATTTCAGATTTTTTGTAGAACTGCTTCGTGAAAATGTTTGAAACACTTGAAAACTGAAACAGCCCGAAATATTCTTTTAAAAAAAGCTTAGTTTGCTTTAGAATTTTTAACACTAAAATTTTAAATGCCGTATAAATTGAATCCCTTTCACACTTTTTAAGAGCAATTTTCATAACTTTTTCAGACCAATTTTCAGAGCATTTTAGTGATTTTTTTCCATAAGTAATGTATGCATGTTAATGTTTTATATCCTTATAAATACTTTTTCACCTGTATGTTTGAATATTTTAAATTTTTAGGACATTTTCTCCAAAGTATCGGGTAGGCAATATAAAAACGTTTTCACCTTAACCAGCAAAATAAGCGTTATGCAATTATTCTATTAGAATAGCCGGTACAACTTGAAATTGTAAGTTGTTCATTATCATTAATTTCATCTTTTCCACTTTTATATTAAGTAACAATATTTCAATAATTTAAAATATTAAAACAACATTTTATGAAATTATTGTACCACATGAATAGTATTTTTGAGTCAGCTATATATTTTTCTATACTCATGCGATAATAAGAAGGTGTATATTTTTAAGTATAAGTGTGCATAGAAAAATACTTTTGTGCTGTAGATGAAGACGGCAAGTCGTGACAGATATTGGACGACGCTATTCTTCTGGAACTACTAAAAGAAAAGAAAAGGAGAAGAAATTAATAAAAGAACAAGAGGCAATATCTAAAATTCCAAAAGTAACGTTTTTTTTTTTTTTGGCAAATATCTGACAAAATCTTATGTTTTAAATGAATTTTCTGAACCGCCGACTTCAAATTTCGTTTTGTCAGATAATAACAGAACCTTGTACAACATAGAAGACAAAAATTCTGAAGTTGAAGAACAAATACAGCTTCAGAAAAATCCTGATTATAGCAGTTTCTCTACCGAGTTAGGACATTGGCCGTCTCAGCTAACAGAAAACAAGCAAGAATATTGGATCACGAAAGGAAGTGAAGAATGTCAAAATATTAATAGCGATTTTACTTCGTCAAAAAGATACTGCAAAAATGAAAATAAAACGAGATTTTGCAATAAATCTTATTTTTCAAAGGTTCATAAATTGACGAAAACAAAACAGGAAAGAAAATGGCTCTGCTACTCGCCGAGTAAAGGTAGTTTGTTTTGCTTTTCTTGCAAAGTTGCTTCCAATAATTCTCGATCTACATGTATTAAAGAGGGCTTCGATGTTCGGATAAATAGTAATACAGTGTTGAATCGACATGAAGAATGTATTTTACACAAGAAGAACTTAATTGCCTTGTTGACCCGAAAGAAGAAAGGTGAACGCATAGATGCAATTGTTGAGGAATCCGCCAAATTAAAAAAACCCAAGTATATAGTACGATTTATTTTTTCGTGTACTTGTAAATCAATTGCAATTTCATCCAATCAAGAGCTTGAATGTCGCTACACTGACGTAACTATAGGGACATTCAAGTTTCCGATTGGATGAAACCACTAACACCTGATTTACGTCAAGTGCACAGTTAAATAAATCCTAGTATAATCAGGGTTTGGAGCTTGTATGCTAGCGCGAGCCAGCGAGTTCAAGGTTCAAGCGAGTTGTACGAAGTATATTGCAGGCATATAATACGTACTCTCTGATGGCAGGTGTACGAACCGATATAATGCATGAACAATAACATGCTTACAAAATGCAACCCGTATACATGCGAAGCGTTGCTAGATTAGGAAGCCACATTCATAATATGTATAGAGTAATCGCGCATTCCCCTGCATTAAAGATTCGTGTGCATGGAGTAGATTATTGACCGGGAAATATGCCTGTGGAAAGCAATGAAGACTTACCCCAAACAGCCTTTGAAAGGCATAGACAGACAGTGCAGGTAGAAGATGGAAGGTAATTGAATGTCTGCTTGAAGTACGTATATTTGCGAGAGAGTACTTAGTATGAGCCTGTAATTTGCAGATTAGCAATCGAGGTAGCACAACAGGAGTGGGATAATGTTGCTACTATCGAAACGACGTACAGTATTCAGACACAACCCGTTTCACATATAACGTACCAAGAGGCCTTTGAATACTTTCTGGGTTTGGATATGTCAGAACACATGGTATGCATGTGCTTCAGTAAATGTCAATATGTTCGTAATACTATTGTGAGCAATTCGCCTTTCATGTTGTCATGTAAATTTCTGACATACTGTCTCCAGAAATTGCATCTTGTATTTGCAGGGCAATATTCAGGTGGAAGTACAAAGACGGGGATTATGTACCTTACTTTCCTGCATTATGGGACCTCCGCATTTAGAAACAGGCCTAGCTGAAGAGAGAAGTTTGGTTTTTTCAATTGCACAATGTAAATATTAATTTGGCGATGACATTAGTTACTTCAATGCTTTTTGTAATATTTATGTAATAGTATTGTAGGTTTTGTTTCTTTTTTCTCAATATTAAGTGATAATGAACTACATTTATGTGAAGATGTTGCTGATTAAAAAAGAAGTTACTGCTTGATATTGTGCTGAGATGTAACAATTTAAATTATTACTTCATATATCTTCTGGTAATCTCCAATCATTTCTGAGCATGTTTGTATTGTAATATTTCACAGTTTCAATATTTCTGTTATGTTGTTTTATATATCTATAAGTGTATTGGTTTTTCAAGAAAAATATCAAAGCTTGTGGTTGTTTACCCTCTGTCACATATTTTCCGTACACTCTTAAAAACACTTCTGGGTTAGGCTTGCTAATCCTCCAAGTAATTTACTTTGTACTTTGGTCATTGGGAGTAGAGATAGTATTGTATCCAATTTATATGTGGGCTTTATATGCCCCCTTTTCCTATCATTAGCATAAATCTACTCAATTCAAAGGCCTAATTATGTAATTTCTGTCAATATTTCAACAAAGCTGTCTTTAACCTTGTTCTGAGGAAAATTATGGAATAATGCCATAGAAGTAAATGATCTGTAAGTACTTAAAGGGTGAAAGTGACCAACTTGTGTGTTTTTTCCTTCCTTTTTTTCAAAGAAAACCAAAAAATAAAATTATATTTTCAAAGCTGCGATTTAATTGTTTAGGATCTCTTGCTGTTATGCCACAAATCACATTTCATACACCACAAACTTTTCACATAACACCAAGGTTTAGCAGTTCTCCTTTGCAGTTTTATTCAACTTCATTGTTTTTTCATTTCATTACTGTTGTTAAATGATGAATTAAATTATTGTTAATAATATTGGAGAAGTGAATTTTCAAAATAATGCTTAGCACACTTGACATCTTAAAAAAAATTACATAGGAAATGACTTGCAGATTCCACACTTGACATCTTTGTTCTTGAATAAAGTACTGTATCTGTTTGTTGATTCCACAAGGCTGAAAAGAAATGTATCATTTTTTAGTGTATCGTTAATACTATCATTATTAAGGAATAATTTGTCATCTGTTATGGTTTTATTAATGTTAAAAATATTGTGGTCTTTTTTCCAAAACGTTCATTAATACTATTTTGTAATAATTTATTCTGTTTAACAGTTTGACCCTTATTGGGGTCCTTTTTTAAAAAAAAAAAGCGTATCTTGGATCCAGGACTGTAAAAAGGCATTAAAATTTTAATACTATTAAGTAGGTTTTGAAATAATTGTTAGTTTTAAAAGTCGCTGGAATTAAACATGGGTCAATTGATATAAACATGTAAAAATCACATGGCCAACCATTTTTTGAACATCCTCATTTATATGACCTGACTGTTGATTTTATTGAATGAACTAATTAATTTTGAAGTTTTAAACAATTGTACTCACAGTGGAGAGATAAGATGTACATCCATTGGAACAAGATTACACAGAATGGTTTTGGGTGTGTGGAAGGCTACATAATCACACATATTTGCCACCGGCTTTACAAATCGCTCATCTTCAGCAGGGTTAAGTGTATTTCTGACCCATTGAACTGGTAGAGCTAGAAATTAAAACAGGATTTAGCCTTTTCCCCCCCTCCAACATTATAATGCTGTTTACTTACGCCGGCTTCCTTTAAGTCGAATGCTATCGAGTTTTGTGGCTACATGGAATGGTTTATAGCTATCTAATTCTTTGTAGTAGTTACGGGCCATATTAATTGAAAATCATGGAAAATTTTGTCATGTTGTCTCTAGGAAATGGTGTTTATTGTTGTGATTGTTGAAGGTGAGATGTGTAGAAGTACCTCCTCCTCCCAAAGAAAAACCTCTTTAATTTTTTGTGTTAAAAAAAAATGCAATATTTAGTACAAATAGCTTTGGAGTTATATAAAATTAGTGAAATTAGGGGTCAACTCTTTGGTTGAGATTTACAATTTGAGTAGTCTTTCAATTCCATAATATTTTTTGCATGTATTTTTAGAAAGTAGTTATATTTAGTCCAATAATACAAAGTAGATTGCACGATTTATAAGTGACTGTTTTCTAATTCAGATAAAAAATTGACTTTAGTTAGTAAATGATTACTAGCTTAATTATCAAATTAATGTCATTTATTAAAAAAATAATAATTTTTTTTTTGCAATCATACTTTAAAAAATGTGATCAGAAGACTTGATAAAGAAAGGAAAATTTTGAATGCCACATGTTTCGTGGGGTTGTCATATTGTATATCACTGCACCACACATGTCAGAATGGTTCTATTGTATGCCACTGTACAACTGCCTTCTTATTGCATTAAGGATTGAAAACTTCTTTTGATAGAATTCAAAAAAAGGATGAAATGCATTTTTTTGTATGATGAACAGAAATTTTATCTGGTTACAGGCAGATTAGATGTATCTCAGACCATTCACGTGAAAATTCTGCAAACAATATATTACCGTTTAACAGGGGCATCAGTTGGATGTCCTTGTTTTGGGTCTCACTGGGAACATATTGGTTTCCAGGTAAGATACTAGCTTGAGTTTGTTTCTTCAACACTTTGAGTGCAGTAGTCAAGTGTTTATTATAAAGTGCAATATTAAATGGTATCTTGCTTCTCTAAGTCTCTGAGGAATTTCACTTCTGTGAAATGCTGTTGGTTCAAATTATTTCCAGCATTGTTGAAAGTTTGAGTCTAAAGCAAAAATTGTTAGAAATTTTGCAATTTGGCATTGGAATACAATAAATTATTGAGATGAAAATAAATTAAAATGATTTGACATCGACACTAATGAATTCAAATTTATGAGAAGTTGCCTGATTTGTATAAGATTAATAATTTCTTATCAGAAAACTGAAATAAAATCTTCAGTTGCATCAATTTTTACTGATCAGCCCACTTCATTGTTATCTTTGTGTCAACTCTGAAAATTGAGTTGCTTGGCAAGAAACAAAGTCTACCATATTGAATGAAACCAGACATCAGTTATTCAGTGTTTCATATAGGCAATAATTTATTTTCAGAGGAATTTGTGAATTCCAATATAAGAATTTGTTTGATATATAATGGTCAAGTTATTATGGTATGCATTACAAATAGATATAATGTTATGATTCCATTTATAGTTGATTTGAATGGAAAAGTGATTGTTCTCAGGGAAGTGACCCAGGTACAGACCTGCGAGGTGTGGGAATGCTCGGCCTTCTGCAACTCCTGTACTTGTGCACCACTCCTCAATTGTCATCTCTTGCAAAGCGCATCTATAGATTGTCTGTGGATGTGGTGCAGAACTTTCCATTGGCTATTCTGAGCTTCAACTTCTCCCGAATGGCCTTGCAAGCTTTGCGACATGGACAACTCAATAGGTGTGCATAAAAAGTTATTAGTCTTGCAATTGATTAACTTAGTATCTTGAGATTTATTTAAAGTACTTTTTCTGAAAAAATTTGAGATTAAAGTGTTTTCTTGTTGATCTCTTACAAAACTTATTTTGAAATTAACTATTATTTCATTACTTAATTTTTGAAAGATAATGGCTCATATCCACTAACTTTCTTGCAGTTTTTTCTTTATTTTAGTGTTTATATCTTCGTTGGTAATTACCTTTTCATATACATTAAATGTAGCTATTGAAAAGATGAATATTTCTAAAAACTTTTGTTAAAAAATGTTTTAAATGATGATTATGGAAAAATAATTCTCTAGTGTCTAATTTATCAATATTTTTTAATGAAAGTGACAATGGGTAGCCAAAAGAATTTACTGTGTATCATTTAATTATATTACAATGGTACTTTTCTGAGTTCTGGTAGTTTTCTGAACATTTCTACTAGTTAAAAGCATTTCCACTTCAATGACTGATTGTATTTACATTTACGTCTCTTACAGAGAATGTAATGAAAGACAGTTAGTGATGGATGTAGTGAACGACTTTTATGCTGCTCTCTTTTATCACATGGTGCATATATGGACTACGCAACGCAAGACAATCAGAGATTCAGGATATGTGTTAAAGGGTAAGTGAAATTTTTCTGTAAGAAAAGGGTAAACAATTTGTATTGGTCTTCCAAGCAATTTGGATGGAAGAGTTGTATTATACAGGTGAGTATTTCAACTACTTTCTTTCATTTGAGTTAGTGAAAACTATGAACTTAACAACTTAACTTTTAATTCCTTTGAAAGAAAAATTGTGTGGGGTAATTAGCATGAATACTTTTTAAGTTTCGTCATAAATAATACTTTCTATGAATGCTGAGCTTATTATTTGTTCATTCATACATTTTACATATTTGTTGTTTAATACACCAATACTCGAGTAAAGGTATGATGAGCAAGACACACTACAAATTAACCAAATACACTATGCAATGGTGAGAGTTGGATGTGTTACCATGATTAAGTTATGATAATTTAATAAAAAATTATCCACACTTTGTTGTCACTCATGAAAGTTTTACTACATACATTACTCATTCGTGAATGAATTTCAGCTCCATTGCCGATCAGCGTGAAAAAATCGAGTGACAGCATATACTTCACTCTTGACAAGATACTATTGTTCTTAGACTTCTTAGTATTTTAGACTAGATGAAATCATCAAAAAATTGTAATAAGATGGTTAACATACTTAAATGTCATGTTGATTATTAGGACGGAGTTGTTCAAATTCAAATTAAGTAACTGTTTTAAAATCATTCCCATTTTATGTTATGTTTTTTTCCTTGAAAATTTAAAAATATTATTAAATAAGATTTGAGGAGAGGTTTGGGGTGGCAGTTTGTGTTTCATCTGCAAATAATATTCTCGTGTGTTAGTTTTAAACATCCCACTCAAGGTGTTCCATGACAGTATTCCGTGCTGACTGTGAATGTTTACAGATGTTGAATTCTTCTGTCGGAGCAATGTTCATGCTGTACTGAAGAATTTGAAAGACCACTTGACAGGAAATTGTGAAGCACCTAATGAAAAGTTTTGCTTCCATGAAAGTTTTCATGATCTAAGAACACAAGCTAAATCTGAAGTGTTTATATGAAATGTTATACTTTTTACGAGGTAGTTTACAATTTTTAACTTCTGCAGTAAATTGTGGAAATTTGCACTCACTACCGTAGCACATGCATTTTTTACCACATCCCCATATGTGGTACTATTTCATTAATTTTATTCTACGTTTTCTATTTTTTATACATTGTGTAAGTAGTATTAATTCACTGCCACGATTTTTGTGCATTTGAATGTAAGTTGTTTAAAATTATTGTTGACTTCTATGGTAGGAAGTTTCTTATCACACAAAGATTTATTACTACCAACTCAGAAAACCTGTGATATTGTGCTCAAGTAGAAGAGTGAATGCAGTGAGAATTAGCCTATAGTTCAGTGATATAGTTGAATTGTATTTCAATAATACGGTATTTATACCAAAGATATACTATACAAAGTTGAATATTGTTATTATATGTGCATTAATATTATCACAATTATTAATATTATACATATATATAAAAAAAATAATATAAAATTTGATTTATGTACTATTAATGTTGACACAATACACTACTCCGAGTGAAATAAAATTTGAAACTCAATATTGTGTGGTTCGATTCTTTGGGTTGATTTTTTTGGTCTTAAGACATAACATCAAGAAATGTTTTAGCCATGCGATGGTTTGTGAATTTTTTCTGACCCTGCATTGAAATTTCGGACAAAAAAATTATTACAGGATGTCTATATGAAGAGTCTCTGTTACTTCAGGTACTTTAAAAAAATGTGTAAAGATAAGGACACCAAACTGGACTTCATGAAAATTGAAAGATGGAGAAAGGATTTTGATAAAATATTGTAACCTTTTTCCCCTCTATCAATTCAGTGTTTTCTCCCATGGATAATCTTAATTATTATTAATAAACTGTGTGGATTCTATGCAAAGAAATGTTGACTCAAAAAAAGACAACACGTTTCCTCTAACATATATGAAGAAGAGAGTGAACAATGTTAATACAATAAAAAAAATAAGAAATAATAGAATATACATTTACTGTAATTATTGACATTAAAAAGATCCTATTTTGTCAGCAAGATAAAGTAAGTAAACCAAATTAAATTAAGTGGCTGGCTTTTTCACAGTGTCCATCCTCCGCCTTGTAGAATTGCAGCTTATTCTAAACACAGAAGGGTCCAGATGGTTATATTGAGAATCGCTCCAGTCAACCGGAGTGGATATGGCATCTCCATGCAACAAGTGAGGGGCCACTTGCACAAAGAGTTGCTGAAAAATAAACACACACGAACTGCATTACTTTGTGATCACTGGAACAACTGCTCCATAAGAAAGATAAAAATACAGTTGAAGGTTTGATTCTCTACCTCAGCCCATGGGGTTAGCCCCATTGGTGTGAAGCGAAACTGCCACTGTGGGAGACCTTGGTGTACAAGCATCATCCTAAAATACAGGGTGAATGTATTTGCGAGAAAGTGCCACTCAAAACACCGGTCCAGTAACCAAATTGTGGGATCCTCTCGCATACGAGTGTCAGGGCTGTCCCCATGGTCCATATACACCAAACATACCTGTAATTTTTCAGAACGTCTTAAAAGAATTTCATTTGGAAATGACTTTTGAAAATAAAAATGAGCCTTTTTCAAGGTTATACCTTAGCCATTCCATCACAGGGATCCAATTCAAATATTTTACACCGTACGCCAAAGTTAGGTGTTGCTGATTCTTGCTGGTTACATATTTCAATATCTAGAAGAGTGGGAAAATCCATGTCACCTGCACATTTTATGCCTGCTAGCCGGCGGAGATCTGACACAGAATTTATGTGCATTTTACCTGTAGGATGTACTTCCCCTGCAAGACATAGTTGTTCTCATGTTCTTGTTATGTAGAATTTATTAATGCTTATAGACTTAAAAAACTCTTCAAACCAAAGAAAAAACTGAACTAGAGTAATTTTTATTTTTATCCATTTATAGAAATGCAGGAATCCTTTATTCTTGCATTTCATTATATTTCATTTGTATGTAAAAATCTGAGGATTATAATTAATATATGTAGAGGTTGTCAAATTGAAACTATCTTCTTAACCTTTGTTTGCAGTTTATCTCTAAATATGTAAATATAGAACTATAACGATTCTGGTGAAAATGCAATAGCATTCTTAAGATTATTCAAATTGAGTACAACATAAAGGCTTGTTTATTTTTATCATTTATTCTGTTTTATATGCTCCCATGCCAGCATGGGAATAATTCAGAAGGAATTTTAGGAGGGGAAATTATAGTTTGCACTCCCTACATACATGCACGTAAACAAATTTTTAAGTAATGAAATGAAAATTTAATAAATATATGAACTTGAAACAAGAAAATAAGTGTTGGTAGTATTCGTTTAGGAGTATAATGTGATGGTATTATTTCGGGGGGGAGTAAAAATATAAGAAAGAAGGAATATGGGATCCGCAATTGCTCTTCCCCCGTGGATTTTGAGTGAAGGCCCGGTTCGAAGATGCGGAACCTTGATGAGAAATATAGTTAGGGGTTTGATGGACAAGGTTATAATCTACAACTTGATACAACGGGTGCCCCGTAACACGGTAAGGACCAACCTTAAACCACGCAAGCAGGTCTGTTCCTGAGCTCCAATTGTTTTTCGTGTGCGTCGACATTACATCAATAATCACGCCAGTTCGCGGACGCACCTGCGAATTCGTAGTTCCATGTCAAGCGGAAGCCGTCAGTTGAACAGTAGAAGTTGCGAAGGTCTTCTGGCATTGTGCAGCAATGTCGTTGTTCCCAAGTCGTGAGAACAAGTCTGTCACATGGTGCTAGTCGCTCCAGCTCAATTTTGCTGACTCTTGGAGTACGCTCTAAAGAAGTAATTTTTATACAGTGTAATGCCTTTACTGCTACCTAAGCTGAATAAAATAAAGTTGATTGTATCAAACTATGAATATAATTGATTAATATACTAAGGTACTTTGACGAGTGTTTTATGGACGCATGCCCGTGCAGTACGTACATTCCAAACCCTGAAAACATTTCGCTTGTTCAGCATGGATTTACTTACCAAGAATATGAACAACACCTAGTGTCAAGTTTTCGTAAAAACAGTCTTCAGACTCAATATCCAATATTTTCGACATCAACAAGCCTTTTTTATGAACTGGCTGTAAACAAGCAGCCTTCAGTGTAAGGATCCAACACTGATGGTCGTCATGGGAACCATAATGTTCAACACCTGTGCTGTTTACATTCCGTATTCGTAATGTTTAGATTACATAAAATCTTTAAATGGGTGTGTACCCCACCTAGTTAAGTCTTTTAGGAAGAGGCTGGGACGTTAACTTCGAGGCGTAACGTTAGGGAAAATAACAATATTTAGACACCACTTAGTTATGTATACGCATTCCTGTTGTATATTTAATCGTCGAATGACATCAATTACACACCCCATGGATTCCAGTTCGGAATCCACAACTAATTACATTCCTAGAATTTTCGATATCCACGGGCTGAACTGTATTTTTGTGCAACGGACAATTCCGGTTTTAAAAACAAGCGCGGAAGGACAAAGAGGGCAAGGGGACAAAATGGGATTGGGAACAAACGAAACAATTAGAAACGTAGTGCTAGAGAATGGCGCAACTTCCCCATATTAGTTTTCTATTTCTTTTGGTCTCGGCTAGCTACTCGGACTTGCCACTAGGGAGTATTTTACCACACATTTTGAAACACTTGCCAGCTGCCAACTGTCGCCGCCCAAAGTACTTTGTTTTAAATTTAATATTTTGGTCCCCTAATAGTAGAACGGAATATTATTCTAGGTCTATTAAATACCTGTAAAACCTCGTCTTAAATGGCAATTTTCTTTGAAAAATTTGTAGCTGTTTTTAGGCTTTGGACCTTTAATGTGGTAATGTTGCCGAAACTTCTTTGGCGGGAACTGCACTCGTTCATAATATTGCACGGTGTGTAGTTCTCGAGCGACAGATCGGGGGACGCGGCCGCAGGCTCTAGTGGTCTGTTGTCTCATCAATAGAAATTATGTCTCTCGAGAGAATGTTCATATATTTTAAGTTTAAAAAAGAACGTAATGACAAGACGAGTTTCTGCTGCAAGCAGAATTTCTTCCCATGAGAATGTCCATTGACGCTGAGAGGTAAGCGGTAATATGTTCTTCTGTTGTGACGTTGTTCTTTATATTTTTCTCAAATAAAATATCGAATATTGACTTATAATTTATGATTCATTACAAGTTTTGCATTTTGTGGAACACGAATGTGTGTGGGAATCCATTGCCTAGTTTGGAAAAGTTGGGAGTAAATTTGCAGTTATATACAGTAAATTTGTTTATGCAAAGCGTTGAAGTGTGTTTGTCAGAGAAGTTGCTGATTAATTCATTAGTCTGGCAGAAAACCTAAGCCTTGCAGAATGTTTATGAGAAAGGGAACTACAAGATGAAATGCAACTTGATGTTGGATGTGTGTTTAGTGAAGGATGAGTAAATTAAGGCAGTTTTTAAATAATCAAATTAAGCTGCATGTGATTTGAATTGGACATTACAAATCTGAAAACCTCGGTAGGCCCTATTTGATGTTACCTTATAGTGTCTTCCTTTGGTATTGTGCTTGTGAATGTAAGAAATTCTGTCAATGTTATTTTTTTTCCATGCTGTGTTACACTCCAACTTTCGCATTAAAATGTAGCTTGTATAAGTGAATGATACTTTATCATTGTACTAATTTGGTGCTTGGTCTAAGAATATATGTAATTATTTTTTTTAATGGTTTGAGTTTTAATTTATAGAACAATTTTGTTTGCTCTTATTTTATACTTAGAATACCGTCACTTTCAGAAATGACTTAGGATTAACAATGTTATGTTGACAATTTTTGTAATTTGTATATAATTGGTATCCCTTGTAACAACACAAACTTCATGATGTCAGGTGAGAATTTTGTTTCTATAATAAGTATTATAGAAAATTCAACACAATCAATTTTTAAGGACTGTTGGCTTTGATTTTGTCGCAACATTTTTATGAAAAAATATCATAAATAAATTTTTTTATCCAGTTTCAGGTAACATGTGATACCAGTGTTCCAAAGCCAACATTTACCTAATATACAATAACAAAATTTCAGAAAGAAGAAATGGGCATTTGAACTAGCCCTCTCGTGTGAAAATTTAATTAGGAATGTCTGTTCCATTCAGGAGTGCAACTAGTTTTAATTGTTGATGTTTTCTCTCTTTAACAATTTCAGGGTTTGTGCATGGTTTGGCCTGTATGAGTCTCGCATATCGAGCCCATCTACAGTACAGCTTTATACTTATGGATTTTTTACATAATGTTCACTATTTTACAAGCTGCCATAGCACAGCTTTTGGGTTTACTCTGTTTTTGAAATTTTTAGTAATATTTTCTTTGATTGATACGTTGGCGCGTACTGCGCAATATATTTTTTATGGAAGAGCGTTGCGTAACACGGATATTCTTTAGAAATATAAATCAGTTTAGTGGAGGAACCTGTTTGCCCGTGCTGCACTGGAGGGCCTCGAGCTATGTAGGCCATGACATTACAGGCCGAGAGCGTCGAACTTCCGAAAGGTGAAAGTGAACACGCTCGACCTAGATGCACCGCCTGCCCCACTCGGCGGCGCCCGTAAACATTCCTTGACGCCGGCCTTGGATGTGTTAGCTTAGCCTAACACAAACCCAAGCCTTTGCTTCAGCTCACAGAATCTACAACTTGCTTGGATTCTAAATGTGTATTGCAACGGTTTGTTGTTCTTCGACATATCGCTTCAAACTTGTTTATGTTCTTCTCGAAGTTTGTGAAGATGAGTGCGCAATGAATTGCCAATCTTTTCCCCCATTATGTACACTATTAAGCCGGTTCACAAAATCGACATTTTATGCACATTTTTAATAAATTAATTCTCTTGTTTTCATTAATCTCCAGCAAGTGTACAAAAAGGCCGGATTGAGAAAATATTTGAGTGATTCAATTTGCTCCACCCTGAATATTTTCGAAATAAAACCAATTTGTCGGTTTGAAATGAAACTGCGTCTTCATAATGGGGATACCCGTTTGGAATGTTATGTGATTAAAATGAGAAATTTGTTTCTAAAACAATTCGTAATATTACGAAAAAAATTAGTAAGTTTTGCGGCTGGCTATAAAGCGACCATGCCTTCCTACTTGCATCACTGGTTCAGAAATAATTTAAGTCACCGGTAAGTTAAGTACAGAAGAAAAAACATTAGTATTTTGAGGTTAGCACGATACCTCCTCCCATTCCTGCACCTTCCTTTTTCCTGTCAGGCTTTCAATATCAAACAATATTATTAACGATGGTAATTTTTAATACTTTCAATAAAAATTTTCGCTTGTCAATTGGTATATAAACCTAGTGGTGCTACAACAGCATGTTCTTTCTCGCGTTAGTGACGCTGACGTAATTTTAACCCAGAATATTTTCTTAACCAGCCTAAGAATTTTAGCGGACCATGGACAATTGGGGGACTTGAATGACAAAGCTCCACAGCTTCCATCTATATCACTTTGTTGATTAAAAATCCTTATTCATTCCAGTGTCTGCAATTCAACAATGAACCCAAAGCCAGCCTATTTATTATTCTCTAGTTATCTGTTCGAAGAACGTTTTTGCATTGAAACAGTTCATGCATAAAACTATGGGTATTGATAATCTACAGTACCCAATATTTTTAGAACATGGCCTTATTGTTCCTATAAATTTCATAATTACGCATAAATTCTCCGACGCTCTCATTGGATTTGCAGGCTTCACATGACGTAGAGTAAAAATTGACAACAAGAACACCATTACTATTTCAGGCAACAAACAAATTGCGTTCCATTCCGAGTTAACAGAAAGTTTATGCCGATCAAATCATTTCTAATTTACTTTCAGTACCAGACAATATTAAATATGGACAATTATATCTTTTACTATGATTTTATGGTGTTATCCTTTGAACGGATAATGTTCCATTACATCTTCATTGCATTTCTTGCGAACTTGACATTGGACTAAATTATTCAGAAGGACCAGTTGATTATATTTTCCTACCAGTTGAAATAAATTCAATCACAGATCATTTTCTCGAAAGCAACGTATGAACGATTTAGATTGAAGGGGTGTTTTCAAAATCTGCTCCGATATCGCTGTAATATTCTACTACCCAGGATGCAATATTACGTGTACTAATCCTAGGAAATATTACATTAGAACAACTGATGAAAAACTGACTTGGTTTACAAGAAAAAATAGATATACCAACTTCACCTGAAATTATTAAAAAATTCAAAAACTCCGTGGCTACCGCATAATAGCGCCCTGCGGATCACCATATTGTAATTCAATATGGATTGTTTTTATAAAGATATACGCATCCGGGCAAAATAAATGGAGGTTTGTAATTGACTTTCGTGAATTAAATAAAAAGACTACTGAAAAAAATCCCGTAAGAAATACTTGACGACTTAGGTAAATATCAATATTTTAGCAAACACAACCTCGCTCAAGGATTCCACAAAATGAAAATTGATCCCTGCTCTTTAGAAAAAAATAACTGCATTCATAGTATACAACCAAACCCAGGTTTTAATTTTAAAAGAATGGCATTCGGTTTAAAAAATGCGGCAGCGGTGTTTCAGATAATGTACAATGCACTCGGACCATATATTTATAAGTTCTGTTTTGTTTACATTGGCGACAGATATTTATTCAAAATCTCTACACGGACATGTTTACCTCATTTCCCCGGTCCTAAGAAAACGCAGAGAGAGAAATTTGAAATAACATCTGGACAAAACTGAATTTTTGTATAAAGAAGTCGTTCTTGCCCATTTAGGTACACATAGTAGAAAACCCAATCCTTGGAAAATAAAAGAACTAAAGCAATACTCCATAGCGACAAGGAAAATAAAACAATTCCTCGAAAAATGATTATGACTTGACATCAGATAATTAGGAAAATGTCTATTTTATTGTAATGAAAATATTTAAAGGCAATTAATATATGTACATAAATTTTGGAAAACTAAACATTCAGACTAATTTTTATTTTGCCTTTTTTGGTCCTATGTGACAATTGCCTTTTTAGACATTTTTTAAATTCTTGGTTACAAACGCAAGTTAAATCATTGTAAGTTCTGATAATCTAATAAATATTTCTACTGGCAACGAATCTCCATTGTTTGTCTTGACTGAAGCTGTTATTTGGGTTTGAATAGTATTGGCTCACATCTTTCGGCCAGTCCTGCTGTAAATAAACTCGCGTCTAGGTTAAACGTAATGTTTCCCGTATTTCATTTGTACAGTATCCATGAGTTTTTGTGCCATCGAAGCTAAGAACGTCAAATTGCAGTCAGCCCTAGCGCCAATGAACTCTATCAGCTCGACTACCATTTGAACTCGCAAGGATGCCCGTTGCACGGTTTGTGTCTGTTTTTCGCTCCTTAAAAAGCCTACAATGACAAGGCCTTCATTGAGATCTCCCCTATCAACACTTCCGAGTCGACGGATCACCCCTTTGCGTTTTCCTCAGCAAAACCTTCGTGGGAACCAATTCACCATGATCTGTGCAGAGTTGCTTGATTTCGGACAAGGGAAAAAGTGACGCAAGCGTGAACAAAAGGAAGACTTTTTTACTGTCGAGATTGTTGAGTCTTCCTGATTGTACCTCTCACTACAGTTTCCACTGACCCAAAACGGGGAATACCTAAGTGATCGCTCACGTTTAACGCTGACAGGACGTAAAAAAGCAAAATCAATGCTCAAAGCTTGATAAACCGCGAAGTACCAGCGAATAGATCAGGACTTTTGACTTTTCTTTACAAAAATCTAAAAAAAAATTAGTACGCAATATATGCAAAATACATATAATTGTAATATACTGATGACATCATACCGATAGTATTATCTGGGTAGTGACCAGTGGGACATGCCGTGGTGAAACAAAGCACAATTTATGGTTGAATAGTTGATAGTCTCGTTTAAAAATATTAATCGCAGTGTAAAATATGGGATCCATTTCCCCATTAGAGAATGTTAAAGAGTCAATAAACGTATGTTCGACCGCTTTACTGTATACTTAAGCACATGCGTTTTGGTTTTTATTAATAAGGCCATGCGAATGAGGATGAAAGTGGATGATGAAGTGGCATATACTTTAATAAACATGTTTAATTGTTTTCTGACACGAAACGTGTTCCATTCCTAATAACGTAAGTCAAAAGATGAAATTTATGAACTTATTCGCAATGATGCTCGGTTGCTAATTCTTTACATAAAATGGGAGACTTTGTACTGATCAACAATAGGATTGCATGCGTGATGTCGCTGTGGAGTTACTATATTGTCAGTTTTCATTATGGTCAAAACGAATACTTTTTGGACTTACAGGACATTTTATTAGCAGAGTTGGTTTCGGGTTGCTGAAACATGGAATTAGGAAAGAAGAGATTAGGTTATGTCAACTTGTAACGTAGAAATTGCCGACAGAAAAACTACCAATGAAAATGAGAAATTTATTTGAAATATTTTCATGAATTCCTCGCAAGTACTTATCCTTAACTCAAATAATTATTTCGTGAGAACTACTCGTTAAAACGGACAAATTTATTTTTTCTGCATATTGTATTACATAGATTCTAATATATTTCACGGAGAATGTAATTGTTCGCTCATAATTTTCGGGCACTCGTACAAATGTACAACATGATAAGTAATTAATTAGTAAAATACAACTTATGACAAAACCATTATAGGGTTCTTGAGAAGGCGTTGTATTTGCGAAGTAATGTGTTCGTGCATTGGACTATTTTGGGACTAAAAAAAGACGTTACAAATGTCTTGCACTTTATTTGACATCGTCTGCACGTAGAAAACATTAATTAATTACCACACTTTTGGAAAATGGAATTCCACGATGGAAATTGCCATGCGTTGCCAACGTGTGCTGGAAGAGGTCATTCGCAAGTGGACGCCTCATTCATCGGGCTGGCGCGCTTGATTGAGCCGAAGCATGCGGACGAGTACTGCTACGGAATTAGCTGGTATCTTATGCGTCGTATGTACATTTTAGAAATACCAGCTCAAGTTTGATTTTTGCAATTGCGACTATTATGACGCTATTGAATAAATATTGTGTAATTGAATGGTTTCATCGAAGAGCAATCGGCATTGAAAATCATCTTCTCATAACATTGTTCAAGTTCTGGAATATATTTTTCCTGAATAGATAAAATTGAAGTGAATCATTCCATGCTGTGTATTCCGCATGAAGGCAGAGTCATCAGTTATAACATGTGACGTGCACTGATTGGACGTTTTTTACTGGTAATGTAATGAGTGGCGTCAAGGGCGGTGGAGGCGCGGCTGGTGGCTGACGTAGACGCCCCGGTCGCGCGCCGTCTGCTGCGCGCGCCGCTCCTCGGTGCGCGCGTCCTCGCCCAGCCCCAGGCGCTCGATGAGCGCCTCTCCACGGACGCCGTTCTGCCGCTCGTACTCCTCGCGCCAGTGCTGCGCCACCGCGGGGTCGAAGGGCCAGCGTTGCGGCCGGAAGTTGTCGGGCGTGCCCGCCAGGTTGTTGCGGACGAGGCTGTGCAGCACGCGCGCCACGGCCGCGTCGCTGCCCCGCGGCTCCAGCAGCACCAGCACCAGCACCGCGCCGCACGTCTGGACAGGGCGAAACACAACGCAGCTCATTTATCACGAGAACACTTTGAAGGTTTAAAACTTAAAATGTTATCAAATCACGTTGATGAAGTAGGCCCCTCTTTTATATTTACATGTGAAAACAATGTATTTAAAACGTTTATAATTTTTTAGAAAAAAAAATGTTTTCCAATCATACGACAGTGTTTTAGTGGGACATTTGGGAAATGCATGGCTTTAGAATACAATGCATTTACACATGCCACAGTTTTTGCAGAAACTGAACGGAATTTATCGTCTGAATGTGACAATATATTTTTTGCTGTTCGGTAGACTCCTAATTATCCATGTAATAAGGTAGGACGGCAATCGCGAATAATCGAGTTTCGAAGAAAATCCTCAAATTGGAAGAAAATTAGACAAATCTATACGCAATTACACACTCATATACAGTATGACGAAATATTTTTAATTTGAAACTCACAAATTTACTTTTCGTGTTGACTTTGATGATTTTCAGAAGAATGCATACTTTTCGTAGCCAGGAGAACCAAACACGTGCCTAAAACCCATTCATTTTACTGTACGACATAGGAAGACACGACTCTGCCTTAAAAGTGATCATGATGCGACAAGCTAATTATTGGACAGTCTTTGCAGACGACAATGACAAAAATTTTGGCTAATATGACCGGAAGAAATCTTTGATATTCAAGTTATAAACATGCATTACGCAGTAAATCGGAGTAGAAAACTGGCACAAGTATACATTACTCCGATGAACATCTAGCATTAATTCGCTGTAGAAAACTAGCGTAATAGGTTATACGACACCTTTCTACTTCAAATTTCATATAATTTACACAATAGGAAACTGAAATATCGCCTATAATTATTTAAAATGGGATAAAAAGAAATTACACCTTTCTAGAGTGAAAGAGCATACAATTTTACTTTGAATAATGTATGTAACTAAAAATTCAAATTTTTTGAGCTACGACACTTTTCTGCTTGCGATGCGATGAGGTTTTCAATGTTTAAAATACGAGGGATTTGGGTGGTTTTGCACGCCTTAGCGGACAGCAGATACATAAAAGTGATGCGAAATCTAAACTGCGCCTGCGCACAAGATCGATAGTGCTTTCTAATACTTTAACGTTGGAGGGTACAAAATCTCCCTAGTTTCTGCACCCTCGAACGTTGACGCAAACGACTGCACCTGATGTTCCGGCTGCACAAGAACACATGTAGCTCCCGGGATATAGAATGCACTTCGCTTACGGAACTGTCCTAAGTAATTTACGCGCCTGAAATCAATTTTCGCTCCAGGGCATTTATGAAGACTTCAGATCAATGGCAATTATAGCAAACTAATACAATGCTCACTGAGGCAGCTAAGTATGGAGCGTTGTTGCCCCTCGGTTCAAGGGCTTACATGCTAGAATACCTGCACATGAACATGTTTGCGTACTCCTAAATTTACAATTTCAGATTTTCACCAGAAAAAAGTTACATACTCCTTGAGGAAAAATAATCTAAAAAGTGACTTTTCAACACGCGTCAACTGTTCATGAGCCCTGGCTTGCTTAAATGAATTCCACGTCTTTAAAATTGTGACTTAGGGGCGTTCGTCCTTTCCTCTAACACACATCTAAGGCCTTGCGGCTATCCAAACATCTGGCTGGGGTGTAGGATCACTTGCCTGTTGAGCTTACGTCAGATTGTTGTTGATACTACACCCGCCAGCGAAATCACGGTACAAGATTTCCTTCTACAAAACTGAACTGCTGTTCTAATCTCGAATGTCTCTACCGATTTTATTTTACGTCAGAATTTTTTATGTGATATTGGCATTACCAGAAGTGCGACTTAAAAATTTCATATCTTCAAACAATTATTCCTCAAAAGAGTATATTCTGTCGGGAAAAAAAAAGTTTTGGTATGTTTATGTGAAATCACGTGTGTATAGTCATAGAAATCGAAATAACATGATAAACAATAGTTCTGGTCCTTATCAAGAGTTTACCGCTTTTCACCAATGTTTAATGTCACTGTTTGGTTGTTGTTGGTTTTATAACATTTGCGGTCACGGCCATAGAACACCTACTAAGCATACATTGGGCAGTCGGAACTCAATGTACTCTCACGGAAACGCACAAGTTCCGGTTCACTCCCGCTTAGCAACTGGCGTGCCGTTAACCGTACACAAGCGTCGGGCATTCTTCGCTACTCACCGCGAAAATCAGCGACCTGGAGATCATCGCGACTGCACCGTCGCGCCGGAGAAAGCAAAATGATTCTCGTGCGGCGGCGGCGGCCCCGCGCTCGCGCCTGGGCCTTGCGTAAGGAATTACACCACTCGAGGCGGGTATTGCTCAGGCCTCCCTACGCGCGAAGCACCGGCGCGCACGTAGGCACGGAGCCGACTGGGGCGCTCGCAGTCCCGCTCTGGCGCGGGCTCTTTGTCACGCGCCGCCGCCGCCGCTCGCCAGCGCTGCCCGCGCGCACTCCGGAGCCCTTTGCCCTCCACCGACTCTCGGTCTCTACTCGACCAGCCCCTCTTTCATGTCCGTAAAGTTAGCGTACCCATTTATCACGATATTGAAAAATTGTATCCCATAATTTTGTTCTAATTAAAGACTAATTTATACCCAAATTTAAAAAT